GTGGACAGCGGTGAGGGCGGCTTCCCCCCAAAAGCGGTCCGGACAAGAGGCAGATAAGAGAAGGGTGCAGACTGTATCGAGGATATGTCGGTGTTTACGTTCGGCACGACCATTTTGTGGAGATGTGTATGGGCAGGAGCGTTGGACAACAGTACCTTGATCAGATAAGAAACGAAGAAATGATGAATTAGTATACTCAAGAGCATTATCTGTGTGGAGAGTTTTTATGGTAGAGGAAAATTGGGTATGTATCATTTTAGCAAAGGTCATATAAATAGATGGAAGTTCAGAACGATGCCTCAGAAAGTAAATCCACGTAAAGCGAGAATAGTCATCAATAAAAATCACAAAATAACGAGAACCATTCATAGACACAGCGCGCGAAGGTCCCCAAATATCTGAGTGAACTAAGGAAAAAGGTGTATCCGCAATGGAAGTACTATGAGGAAATGACAAGGCAAGTTGTTTTCCCAACGAACAATCCACACAATGAAAAGACTCAAACTTGACAGAACCTAAACTACCATGACTAATCAAAGACCTGATTTTATTGAGGACGCATGACTGAGACGATGATGCCACTGAAGGCAGGATGGTGTAGAGGTGGTGGCAGCCGAGATAGAGGGACGAGGGACCTGGAGTGACGTAAGTTCAAATAAGTGGCCCGTCTTCCGGCCCTTCCCAAGAGTCCGCCCGGTTTGCGCGTCCTGAACCTGCACACCAGTAGAAGAAAAAGTTACTGTTAGACCTTGATCAACTAATTGACCAACGGAGATTAGATTTAAGGTTAATTGAGGGATACAGTATGTGTCGGGGAGGGATAAGGATGAGGTGGATGTATGTTCGGTATGGGTGATGCGCATATGGGTACCATTTGCAGTAAGGATAAGAGGTAAAGATGGTGCAGTGGATGTGGAGGTCATAAGGCGTATATCAGAGGTCATATGATTACTGCAAGCAGAATCAAAATACCAAGAAGAGTTACCTTATGTGGTAGACATGGCGGTATTGGAAGATAGAACTTGTTTAAGAAGAGCTTCAAGGTCCTGAATCGTGGGAGGCGCAGACGCAGGCGCAGGCGTGGCAGAGGCTGTGACAAAGGAGGTACCAGACTGAGGTCCACGAGAATGCCGAGGTTTGTAGTTACTACTGCCAGAGCGAGACGGCCTAGTGGGGCAGTACTGTATAGTATGACCTAAAACATGACAGTAGTGACACTCCACCTTTGGGCAATGACCGAAGTCATGATCAGAAGACTGACATCTTTTGCAGCGATGAGAACAATTCTGAGTAGGAGTTCGGGCGGTGACCGCAAGAGCAGAATCAAGCTGAGGAGCCTTAGCTAAGTGGAGACGAGTTTCCTCAAACAAAATCTCATGAATAGCTGCATCCAAGGTAGGAAGTGGATGCCGATGTAACAAAGAGGCACGAACTGCCTCATACTCTGGACGCAAAGCCATCAAGACCTGAATGAGGCGAAGATGATCAGGACTGATCTCTGCTTGATCCAACCGATGCCAAAGAGGTTGCACTTGGGCAAGGAAGTCGTTGATAGATTGTCCTGGTTCCTGTTTTAAATCATGGAGAGTGCTCCATAACTGATAATAGTGTGCCAAACCAGAAGCACGGAAGCGGACTGCCAAGAAATCCCACGCTGCCTTTGCCGTATCAAATTGAGCAAGCTGAACATGGATCGCCGGAGTGGAAGTGTTGCGTAACCAAGTAAGAATTTGATGGTTCTTACTATCCCAATCCTCTAATTTTTCAATATAGGATTCGACAACTGTGGCGGTAGGCGTAACTTCTCCTATAGAAACCGGAGCAATGGGAGCAACTATATCTCCCGTAACAATTTGCCACAAATTTCCGACCTATCAAAAAACTTTTCATCGATTGTGCCCACAAACTGTAATTATCTCCGGACAGAACAACATTGATCGGAATATGGACATCCATCTTTTCCATAGAAATTCAAGAGAAGACAATATCTCAAACCTCAACCCGAAAGCCGAAACGACAGAAACACAAGAAAACCGAATCGAACCCGAAACTCGAAAATTCAACCGGATACAAAAAACTGCTCAAACTGAAGAAGTGAAGATACCATCGAGGAGGAAATCAAATTCCGAACACGACGGTGAAAAGATCGCCGCCAACGGCCGCCGCACGCGCCTCCACGCGCCGGCGAGGCGTCCGGCCGGAAAACTCGTCAGGCGCGTGTGAGGCTCACGTGCCGCCGTTCGCCGAACTGTTCCGGTGTCCGGCCGGTCTCGTGGCGGCGAAGACGATGGTGGTGGCGGTGACGGTCGGAGGTGGTCAGAAATATGCTATCTGGAATGCGTGGATTGTTTCGATTTGGTCGGAAAAGGCATGGCTCTGATACCATGTAACGATTAATGGAATAAACTCTATTTTCGTTAAATCACAAATTAGGGTACAATATTATATTTATACAAGAGATATATTAGGTAGGATATATATACATATAGATATATACAATATATATATTAACATGTATTATATTGAACGATTGATATGTATATATATATATATAAGAGAAATGGCCCCGGCTACCCGTCAAGCGGATGCTGTGATCCACAGGCTACTCTCTGAAACCTTGATGCCTATACTTGGTAAGTGCGATCGTGAAGATGTGGAAAAACTGTTGGAAAAGAGAGACTTCGTAAGAAAGGCGTTGTCTGGTTCAAGGATTGGATGAAAAATGAGATAATGGATTTGATCATCGAATTAAACAATACTCCTTCCTGCCCACATTGGATCTGTGGGTCACTGTAGATACGGGAATTTAAAATAAGTATAATTAGTAGATAATTAAGAATATATTAGTGAATAATTATTCCATAATATAAATAATTATAGATTAAAATTAAAAAAAATTAAATTTAAAAATTTATAATAAGATTAAAGTGTATAATCATTTTAAAAAAAAAAGTGACATGGGATGCGAGACGGACAGAAAGGGCAATGTGGACATGATAGGTGGGACGGACATAAACATAGAATAATTGACTCATTATTTCGTGTATTGAATAACTTTTGTTGGAAATCGGGACACCGATCGAATAAGAGGTCCAACTTCTCCGACTAATTTGCATAGCAGAACTATGAAATGTTTCGATGTAAACACAACTTTACAACATGGTTGTGTCGTAGTTATAACAACAGTGTGTTCGTGCATAGATTGATGACTAAATAAGTGCAAATAAAGAAAACAACAGACAAGATTTGTTTAGGCAGTTTGATTTTCCAACTTACGTTTGGGGATTCCAATCCAGGAGTTTTAACTAAACCAAACTCTCGCTTTACACAATGTAAGACACCAACCAAGTCTACTCAACTTATCTTTTACCCAAGTTTCATTTAGTTTTACAAACTCTCATGGACTGGCTGTTACTATTGTATAAAGACTCCAGCTGACCTACAATCCAGCTAAGAATAAGATTGCATACCGGATTATTATCTACTACGTCATCGACTTCAAGAATCCTTCTTCTCATCACTTCAAACCTCCATGGATGAACCTCTCAACACTCTAGTAAGTGGAGACAAAAACACACTCAAAGGTTCCGTGTCTTATCTCCGATACAAACACAAAACAACACATACAAAATACATAAACTGGATGCAAGAGACATAGTGTGTGTCAATTTTGGGGCAGCGTGTACAAGGCAATAAATGCCATGTAGTACGAGAGGACACTTCATTTAACCTCTCCTACAAATCCTCTGCACAACACAAAAACATTTTTCTCATTCCAATGCATATGAGACACGTTGAATACATTCAAAGTGGCTAACTTGGTCAACCTTCTGCCTTGGTGCAGGTTTCCAAAAATGGATTCAACAGACAGATGGACATTTGCTCATTCGCCAAAAGTATATACAAAAAGGGATTTTGGCTTTTTGTGTTTTCCAACAGCTTTAATCTAATTAAATCTTCTTTTCAATTCCATGGTAATATACTAATATTGATTAAAAATGTAAAATGATTCCACCAAAAAGAAAAGGAGAGTGGTAGTGAAGAAGTGAACAGCTTTGAGGAGATGCATCAAGATCCTGCAAATTGGAGTGCCAGACTGAGACAACGCGACGAGTGGTGAAACAGCTCTGAGTCTTCTTGCAACGCGCTACGACAGTAGTTAGAGCTGTGCAGGAATGCTCCCTTCTCGGGCGGCAACGGCTGAGCACCTTTCTGGGATTGTGGGCAAATTTGCAAGAAGCGCTACCAATTTATCGACCAAATGCTTTAAAGCTCCTGCTTGAACTATCCGGACCTTATTATCATGAAATATTGATAAGTTGAACAATGCAGTCGCAGCATCTTTCTTTCCTCTACAATTTCTACTCTGAGAATTAATGAATATTTTTCGAGACAACATATATTCCCAGATTACTCATTGAAGAAAAGATCTACACTACGCAAACTCAGCAAAGACATCAATCAGTCGATAGTTTGTTAGTTTATACAAACTGTTTTCTGGTTGCCAAACCAAATCAGTTACTACAGTTCGAGGATAAGTTTCTCAATTCAATTGATTTGATTGACAATCAATTGATGACTTACCTATAGAGTTTATTTTTTAACTTTTACAGGTTTTTTTCTTTACCCTTATCTAATTAAGGAAAATGTTGAGGAATCCATTTGATTTCCTACAACACAAAAAGTCTTCTATTAACGTCAGCCAGTGAGGCTAAGCAATAAATAAATAAATCCGTACCTAACCAAATAAAATACTCACTAACTTGTATGGATTTCTGAGTCTTAATTAACACGTATATTTTCATAAGCAAATCAATTGCAGACTGACAAGTGAGGTCAATGATCACAGTATATGATTATATCACTCCCGATGATTAATATAAACACCAGATTAAAAATTATATCATGTCCCAACACTACTACCTTCACCTTCACTTTGACTCATATCAAGTCTGAACAATTTCTGTTGCAGAAACATTTTCCAGAGCTTTTAATCAGACATGGCTGTTGCTGCTTATGCATCCTTGGCTTCTCTCACTCATGTCCTCGAAAATCTCCACTATCGTGCCCGATTTAATATCCCTCGTGCTGACATCAACCAAGTTGAAGATCTCCAGGAAAATGTCAATTCCTTGCTGGAATTTGTCGAGCTTCATTCCGAAAGGAAGATCCCTGAGCTTCGAGGTTTGTGGAGGAAAATGGCAGAGGCTGCTGCTGAAGCTGAAAGTGACATCAACTTCCATGTAGGCAATCTACTCTATGCTAAGTCTCAAGGAGAAACGAGTGATACTTCAAACTTCTCAGCTTTCTGTGATGAAATGGACACACTGATCCAAAAGTTTTGTTCCATCGAAAAGGAGTTGCCGATGATTGAAGAAAGGGAGGATCATCAAGCCCGAAAGCAATCCAATTATGCTTCTGTTTCTGCTGGTGGTTCGTCTGCAGCTGCTTCATATGTCAGCAATGTTGTTGGACTGGATGAGCATGTGAACACGATCAGGGACAACCTCATCAGAGGTAGATCCAAGCTCGAAATCCTTCCAATTGTCGGCATGGGAGGTATTGGTAAGACCACTCTCGCTAAAAGTCTCTTTGAAGATTCATTTGTTGTTGACCACTTCGATTTACGCATCTGGCTTACTATATCTCAACAATATAGTGCTGAACAAATTCTTAAAGTTGGTCTTGAAGGAAAGGCAGGAGAAAAAGAAACGTGTGAAAGTTTAGATGAGTTGGGAACTAGATTCTACCAAAAATTATTCGGTAGAAGGTACTTGATTGTTATGGATGACATGTGGTCAACTGGAGCTTGGGATGCTTTACGGAGGTATTTTCCTGACAATGAGGATGGAAGTCGTATTTTGTTAACGACTAGACTCTCAAACATGGCTGCTTCTTTGGGTTCTCATGATCCCTATCATTTAACATTTTTAAATGAGAATGAAAGTTGGAGGTTATTATGTCAAAATGCATTTTCTCAAAATGATTGTCCATACGGTCACTTAGAAAAGTTTGCAAAAGACATTGCAAAAAGTTGTAGAGGGCTTCCTTTGGAAATTGTTGTTGTTGGTCGAATGCTTGCCAATTCTGATAGGAGTGTAGAACATTGGGAGAATATTGCAAATCATATTCGCTCACTTGCTAATTTGGAAGATGTTGAGCATTGTAAGAAAATACTATCATTAAGTTACGAGAATTTACCCATTCATCTCAAACCATGTTTTTTATATTTGAGAGTCTTTCCTGAAGATAGTCTGATTGAAGTCTCAAAACTAATCAACTTTTGGATTTATGAAGGATTCATTAAGTCAAAAAGAAATGGAAGTTTGAAAGATATTGCAAGGGAGTATGTAAAAAGTCTCATTGACAGAAATCTAATATTTGTACGGAATGAAAATGGATGTGGCATTCATGATCTTCTACGGGATTTCTGTTTGGGAGAGTTTGGTGATGAATGTTTTCTCCAATTTCCCAGAAGGCAAAGTGTTGGAGGAAGGTTAAGACAAGCTGTGCACTGTAATATTTGTCTAGAAAGGCTCAAGGAGAAAGAAGGAATGAATATAGTCCAACCATTTCATATATTTGGATTACCATCACAAGTTAATCCTCTTGTATGCGATGCTTGTACTATGGTGTATTCGCATATTAGAAGACATAACTTGGTGAAGATTGCGTATTACGATGATGGTTTTGACACAGATATTTTGCAGCCAATAGAATTGCGTTGTGTTGATATATGGGGGGTAAAACGATTGTCTCCTTCAACATTACAGTTACTTTGGAATCTTCAAAGTTTAATCATTTCAAACTCAATAATTAAAGATGTACCTCGAGAGATATGGGAGATGCCACAACTAAGAGAGATTCGATGTCCATACGGAAGGGTTCATCTCCCTCATCCTATAGCCACTGATATTGAGGGGCAAGATTTCATTATCCTGAAGGACCTTCGCACTATACATGGAATCTGTAATTTCAGTTGTTCCAAAGAAGTCATTGATCGGATCCCATATTTGAAGGAATTGAACGTTAACTACGACGATGGATCTGACTGGGGTGTGAAACAGCTGAACTATTGCCTATGTAATCTTGAGCAACTACAGAAACTTGAATCTCTATGTATAAGAGATTGCTTGGAGAAGATGACCTTCCCTAATTCCCTCAAGGAATTGCGTTTGATCTATTGCAGAATGGCATGGGAAGATATGTCAATTGTTGGTTTGCTGCCGAGTCTTGAAACACTTGAGATATGTGGTGGCGTGCAGGGATCAGAGTGGGAGCCTGCTCAAGGGGAATTTTGTCGCCTGAAAGAGTTGGCCATTGACTATAATGATTTAGCGTGTTGGAGAGCAGAATCGATGCACTTCCCTATTCTTGAGAAGCTTAAACTTACTGGATTACGTTTATTGGAGGAGATCCCTTGGGGAATTGGAGATATACCAACGTTGAAATCATTGGACGTGGAGTATTGCAGTGAGTCTGTCATTGATTCGGCAAAAGAAATATGGGAGGAGCAACGCGAGCTTGGAAATGACATTAGAATTGATATTACTGATGAAGAAAATAGGGTCGAATATCAAATTGGTACTTTCACTGCAAGAATGACAGGGGCTGCTTGTCAGTCCTTGGCTTATTCAAAACGTCTTCCAGAAAGGCTCCAGAGGGTTGCTCAACATGGCCGCCGCTCTCTGAGCGGAAAACAAATGGAAGCTGTGGAAGAAGCCATCCATTTTTTCAAGGACTTTCTTAAAGTTTTTCACCCAAGAAAAAGCCAAGAAATGGAAAGTTTGGCAAGAGAAATGGCCCAGGCTACTCATAAAGCAAATGCTGTGATCCGCAGGCTACGCTCGGAAACTTTGATGGCTATACTTGGTAAGTGCGTCCGTGAAGATGTAGAAAGACTGTTGGAAAAGATAGACTTCATAAGAAAGTCGTGGTCAGTGGCTAAAGAGGAAGGGCAAGAAAACGGACAAATTAATGGTGTCGTTGCCTATAATGATTCCACGCCCTATGATATCAACTCACTGAAATTTTGGGGGAAACCTCCTAACACCGATGAAGATCTGAGAGAATATCAAGTTGGTTCTGTCACGGCAACAATGACGGAGGCTGCTAGTCTAATCTGGTCTGATTTAGCATGCGTCCTGGAGGTCCTCCGAAAGGCTTCTGAACTTGGTGGTCATTATCTAAACAAAAAGCTAATAGAAAACGTTGAGAAATCCATTTGTGTCCTGCAAGATGTTGTTGAAGTTCATCCTCAAATTATACTCCAGCACACAGAAGATATTCATATACTGAACATGTATTCTCTTGTCAAGGCAGCAGAACATCTGAATTCGAAGCATCTTAGGCTACAATCTCTGGAGGATGCAACTAATTATGAAATCTTATCCTTCTCTGAGGATGTACAAGAGTTTTTGAAAAACTTAAAAGACACCAAAGAATGTTTGAAAGATATTAATCGAAGATGACTCAACTCGACTCACTCATCACAAGGTATTAATTTATTTTTCTCCACTACACTCATCCCCAATAACACACAGTTTTGTTTTCCTTTTCCATTTATTCCTATTTAATTTCGAAACATTGATACAATCTTTTTTGCCTCTATTTGTAGCAGAATCAACCGGTAAAGAGATATAATTATCTGCACAAAATGGTGATTGTTATATATAGATATATATATACTAGTGCTCGTAGTCATGCGCTACGCCGCACAACATAAAATACTTATACATTATTTTGTAAGACTGTTATATTTGTATTATATTGAACGATTGATATATATATATATATATATATAAGAGATATGGCCTAGACTATCTGTCAAGCAGACGCTGTGATCCGCAGGCTACTCTCGAAAACTTTGATGCCTATACTTGGTAAGTGCGTCCGTGAAGATGTGGAAAGACTGTTGGAAAAGATAGACTTGGTAAGAAAGGCATTGTCTAGTCCAAGGATTGGATAAAAAATGAGATAATAGATTTGATAATTGAATTAAATAATATAATCAATCAATTGATAAATCACTTCTAATGATGTAGACATGATAACGCAGAAATCGCACAAAAATTAATTAATAGAAAGTTTGAATTATGTTGGGGATTTTAATGGGTTAACAACGAGAATGGCCGGATATAACTCTGTATGGTGATGAGCTCACTTTCCGAATACGATATTTTGACCCAATTCCTACCAAGGGTTACACAAAATTCGTACTGGGATAATACAAGGTTCAATTTCAGATTCTGGAAGAAAATATCGAGACAAGGTAAACGTAGGGAATAAAATGAGTATGAAGGCTATAATTTCTTGCACATATAGAAACACTGAATGTGTTTTTCTTGTTTTAATTATCCCTTTTTCTTTCTTTAATTCTTATCTCTGCAAATGGAGACCAATCATCTGTTTATAGATCATAAATAACCTTTTATTTAAATTGAACAAACACAAATGTTCAATTTAAATTTCAATTTTAAAAAGAAAGGGTGTGTTCTTTCAATTCAAATATTCATTTGAATTCAAAATAAATTGATGTATTGATTCAATTCAAACAAAAGTTTGAATTCGTAATTTAAAATTATTAGACACGTCAATTCATAAATAAACACAAATTTGAAATTAAAATTCCAAGAAAAATTGAGTCTCAGAATTCTTGTTATTTGTCCAAATCATGTCAAAATTAGTTTCTTCGAGTGCGCACTCCACGTATCCTATCCCGAAATTCACTTAATCCCAACATTCATTGGTCTCGAATAAATCCAATTACGCTAAAATTACCAACAATCCTCCCCCATTTTAGTGTAATGCTTAGACTTATTCACAAATTAAATCTTTAAGTTCATTCATTGTAGGTTCTCTTACTTGTTCCAATTACATAGCGCCTTACCTCTTCTGAATTATATTGCTAGTCCGTCCGGCCCGAGGAAACCTTTGCACGCCTTCACAACCATACACAATAAATCCATGCATAAACGAGAATGTCACGAAGATTGAATTTTCGCATTAGTACAATACACATTACAAATATTCGAGAATCAGGGTGTTACTAAGGATTGAACCCTTTCAACTCATCTGAATACATGTAGGCAAAGTACACACGAATTTACAATTCCCTTGGTTCTAACTTGACACTTTTCAAGCCATGTGTCAATATCCATTCGCGAGCACATCGAAAGCAAGTCCGAACTTTCTTGAAGCGGCAAAACTTCATGCTCGTATAGGTAGCTTCTTTTGTCTCGCTCCTGCATAAGCAATTTTTCAAAGGAGTTATTAAGAGATATAATCTCAACCTACGGTTCTTGCAGGTCTGAACGCATACCCGGGATGTTTAAATAAAATGCGTTCCAATCTTCCCAATATGAGCTTTCCACATTGAATTCAGCTTCAAGCGTCATACTAGAAGGGAATTGGGTGTCTCACACTAGGAAAATTTAATGGACTTCAATCCCATCCCAATCGACGACTTGTGCACTAAGTCTCTCGCCAACCCTTTTGTCAAACAGTCGGCTAAATTATGTTCCAACCGAATAAACTCAACCGATATCACCCCATTCATGATTAAATCACGAATCATGCTATGTCTTACACCTATGTGTCGAGACTTACCATTATAAATTTCACTATAAGCTTTAGACATTGTTGAGGTGCTATCACAACGAATAGAGATGGGTGGCACCGGTTTCGGCCATAACGGAATCTCATATACCAGGTTATGAAGCCATTCAGCTTCTTTTCCAGCCGCGGCTAATGCTACAAATTCAGATTCCATCGTAGAACTTGTGATGCACATTTGCTTCTTGGAAGCCCAACAAATTGCACCTCCCCCAAGCAGAAACATCCATCCAGTGTGGGAAGAATGATCTTCTGCATGGCTTATCCAACTCGCGTTCAAGTATCCTTCCAAAAACGAAGGAAAACCAAAATATGACAAACCATAATTAACAGTATTTTAATATTTATCCCCCACACAATTTGAGGAACTTCCCCAATTGCAGTATGGGTGTGCAGATTGTTACTGCCAGACAACTTGCACTCTTGTTGGCATTTCGAACGCTACTAATGATATAAGGCAATATTGGTAATCGCCACTTAATCTAGTAGCCGACAAAAATTCATGGAGATTTCTCACATCCATTTCAAATTCACTCGCAAGGTTATAAAAATCAGATTACTAATAATCTCAATAACCTTATTTGAAAATGATTTTGTATAAAATTCCAGATGTTTCAATTCATATAATCTCAATTGCATCAATTTCATATATTGAAAATATCTATTTCACAAACTTCAGCCATAAAATCAAACAAACATTCTAACCGAATGTGTAAGTAAAGTAACTTAACATTAACATGCTTGAAGTTACAGCATACACTCGACAATCTACGCAATATCGATCATATATTATTTATATACAAACATGTCTTAATCATTTTAAGACATTAAATACTAATTACTTGCAGTAATTATTATCAACTATTTACACAATTTCTTGAGACTCAAGACATAAACCACTAATTATTTTCAGTAATTAGAATTCATTCTACTTATTAAAATAAGTCGATTCCTTTGCACGGTGATTCCCCTTTCCAACTCGGCAATCACGTTTGAGGTGACCGGATTTTCCACAATCCAACAAACCAATTTTGACTTCTTCATGGATCCTTTGTTGGATTCAGAATGCTTCCAAATCTTACCATGATTGAACTTGAAATTCTTTTCTTTATGTTCATCAACCATGTTTACAGATGGTCCTACAATATCATTGTCTTGATCATTTTCCTGCATTCTTATAGATTCTTCTTTGCGCAGATGGCTTCCGAGTTCTACTAGTGTCAACTCTTCCTTCTTGTGTTTAAGCGTTCGCTTAAATTCCTTCCATGCAGGCGGCAATTTGTCAATGATGCATGAAACATCAATGGATTCATCCATCTTCATGTCGTGCTGCATGAACTGACCAAGGATGCGAAGGAGCTCGTTGTACTGCTCCATTACAGGCCTCGAATCAACCATCTTGTAGTTGTTGAAGTCGCTGACCAAGAATTTCTTGCTGGAAGCGTCTTGAGCCATGTATTTAGATTCGAGTGCCTCCCAAAGTTCTTTGGCTGAACCCATATTTTGATAAATATCAAAAAGTGGATCAGACATTGCGTTGAGAATATGACCACGACAAATGTAGTCGTCATTCTCCCATTTGCTCCTGCGACGCGTTGCCTCCAAAGTTTCATCTTCGGTTTCCTCGGGGCATGGATGCTCAGGATATACACGACCTTCAAAGTTGTGAGAAGGAAGTGCATCTTCTTCTGCCAGCGACGGAAATCGACGCCTTCGAACTTTGTCAACTTGCCAAACTTGGTCGACATGTCGCTCAGAGTTTCGCTCGCCATGTTCGTTAACAAGATATCGTATTCGATTGTTGGGGATTTTAATGGGTTAACAACGAGAATGACCGGATATAACTTTGTATCGTGATGAGCTCACTTTCCAAATATGATATTTTGACCCAATTCCTACCAAGGGTTACACAAAATTCGTATTGGGATAATACAAAGTTCAATCTCAGATTCTGGCAGACAATATCGAGACAAGGTGAATGTAGGGAATAAAATGAGTATAAAGGCTATGATTTCTTGCAAAGATAAAAACACTGAATGTGTTTTTCTTGTTTTAATTATCCCTTTTTTTTTTTTTTCTTTAATTCTTATCTTTGCAAATGGAGACCTTTATAGATCATAAGTAAACTTTTATTTAAATTGAACAAACACAAAGGTTCAATTTAAATTTCAATATAAAAAGAAAGGGTGTGTTCTTTCAATTCAAATATTTATTTGAATTCAAAATAAATTGATGTATTCAATTAAATGTTTGAATTCATAATTTAAAATTAGTAGACACATCAATTCATAAATAAACACAAATTTGAAATTAAAATTCCAAGAAAATTCAGTCTCAGAATTTTTGTTACTTGTCAAAATCATGTCAAAATTAGTTTCTTCGAGTGCGCACTCCACACATCCCATCCCGAAGTTCACTTAATCCCAACATTCATTGGTCTCGAATAAATCCAATTACACTAAAATTACCAACAAATTATAACACAAAACTATCTCACAAATCCATAACCTAAGAATTCAATCCTCCCTTAACACTGGAAATAGAAACCTAGCCACATTTTTTTTTTTTTTTTTTGTCAAAATCGTGCAGCCCTATATTTTTTTATTTTATTTTATTGCTACACCAGTTTCTTTTGATGCGAAATTCCAATTTTATCTTCTTGGCTTATCAAACTCTCTACATGCTTGAATCAAAGCAATAATCTGAAATTTTTTAAAATATCTTCAATTTCTTTCATTCTTTACACAAAATCAAATTCTACCAAAACATAGTAGGAATCATACAAAATTATAGTAAATACCGACGCACAAAAAATAGGATGAACAATAATGGTGCCACATACTATGATACCAACTCAGTGAGATTTTGTTGGAACCTCCTAACATGGATGAAGATCTGAGAGAATATCAAAATTGGTTCTGTCACTGCAGCGATGATGGAGGCTGCTATCTGGTCTGATTTAGCATGCGGCCTGGAGGTCCTCCTGAAGGTTTCTGAGCTCGGGCATAATCATCTAAACACAAAGCTAAAAGAAAATGTCCGAGGAATCCATCTATTTCCTGCAAGATGTTACTCCAGCACACGGAAGCTATTCACGATAGGGACATATTTTTACTTGTCAACGCAGGAGAGCATCTGAATTTGAAGCATCTTTGCCGAAAATCTCTAGAAGATGCAACTGGTGAAGAAATATTCTTCTTCTCTAAAGGATATGGATGAGTTTTTGAAAAGATTCGTAAAGATCAAAGGATTTATTAATGTAAGACAAAAAATTGTGTTATTTTTAATAAACACAAAATTTGTACAAATTATATATAATTTGGATATAAAGCGAGTTCTATTATCTAAATGAGTCATTTGATTCTCTTTCCGGGTTGTTTTTTAACTTGAATTTGGATGGCTTCTTTGATTCGAAGAGAATTTGGTATTCGGTTTGACTTTGCCGAACTTTTGAGGGGTTTGCTCTTCGCGTGAACGATTTTGATCTTCAGCTTTGACTTTGGATTATGTCTCATTTGGACGATCTGAAAGAATTTGGCCTTTGGTGTGGCTTTGTCGGACTTTGGAGGGCTATGATCTTTAATCCACCTTGTTGACGGATTTGAGCCTTGATTTGACTTTGCCGGCTTTTGGAGAGCCTTGGTCTCTTTATAGGCGAATCTGATCATCGACTTTAGATTTGATGTCTTCTCTGGACGATCCGAAGCTTTGATATTTGAGGAGGTAGATTTGATGCTCCATAACGCTTTTTGGCGAGGTGTCCCTTTGACTTTTAGATCGAAGAGGGTCAGGTTGATGAAACATCTTGAAGCTTTGGGAGGAACTTTAGAGGCTTTTCCTTGGTTTTATCGAATTCTTCAAGGGCTTTTGGAACTTTGATCCTTTCTCCGGCTTGCGCATACAACGAAGAATGTTAAATTTATCGATTCATTAACCAATATTGAATAATTTGTTCAAATCGGCGACTTCTCGACGAATAACGCTTAGAAAGACACAAAAAACAATGAAGAACATTGCAAAGTCTAGAGAGACTTACCATTAGGCGAGTCTTCAAATGAACTTCGGTTTTTCGAACGAATTGGCCATGACCCCTATTTATAAGGAATAGGTGACCTCGGCTTTCTTTTTGAACAATGCCACGTTCGGTATCCTGATCGGCCAACACGAACATTTTATAATCTTTCATTTCCCATATGATGTCATTTTCCATTATTTAACGATTTGATTGTGCGCTTTCATTTCTCACACAGATCTTTATATTATTATTCTCTTTGGAAAGATATTAATTTAAATATTTTCTTTATTTCTCACCAATGGTTTAATTTGGATCTAATAATTTCAAATCACCCTAGTTAATAATTTGTTAGGTTTGCCCAAATAGTTACGTTGAAAATAACTTTCATTAGGTTAAAATATCAAATATAATTTAATTTTTTTAAGTTACGAATTGGTTACAATTGAAATTGGCTAGATTTGATTTCTTAAAATGTTAAATCATCATTGAGCATTTTAAGATATAATATTGGTTCCAATTTTGGTTTAAAAGCATAACAATATGTTATGGTTAGTCTCTTTTCTCTTTTTTTCCAGGTTTTTTTAATTGTGGTTTTAAAAGAGTTCTAATTTTTAATTCGAATTTGGTCCAAACAATAAATTTGTGCAATTTGTATTTTTTAATGGTAGGATTTTCTATAAATATCATAAAAAATCATATAATATATATACATATTAATAAAATATAATATGTATGAGAATGCATATATGTATTTGTATTTGCACGTGTGTTCAAATTAAAGACGAGACGTTTCATGTGATTTAATCTATCTTCCTCAGCAATTATACGTACTTATATGTATATATATATATATATATGTATGTGTATATATGTTTTTTTTTTATGTGGATTATCATTTGTTCATCTTATGCTTGTGTTTATATGTCTATAAGAAATGAAACATATTTGTTGTTTGATGATATGGTTTTTTACGTAGAATAATTGACTCATTATTTCGTGTAATGAATAGCTTTGTTGGAAATCGGGACACCGATCAAATAAGAGGTCCAACTCCTCTGACTAATTTGCACAGCATAACTATGAAATATTTCGACGTAAACACAACTTTACAACGTGGTTATCTTGTAGTTATAACAACAGTGTGTTTGTGCATAGATCGATGACTAAATAAGTGCAAATAAAGAAAACACACAAGATTTGTTTATGCAGTTCGGTTTTCCAACCTACATTTGGGGGGATTCCAATCCAGGAGTTTTAACTAAACCAAACTCTTGGTTTACACAATGTAAGACACCAACCAAGTCTACTCAACCTATCTTTTACCCAAGCTTCATTTAGTTTTACAAAACTCTCATGGAGTAATTGTTACTATTCTATAACGACTCCAGCTGATCTACAGTCCAGCTAAGAATAAGATTGCATACCGGATTATTATCTTCTACGGCCTCGTCTTCAAGAATCTTTCTTCTCATCACTTCAAACCTCCATGGACGAACCTCTAAACACTCTAGCAAGTGGAGACAAAAATACACTCAAAGGTTCTGTGTCTCATCTCCGATACAAACACAAAACGACACAAACAAAATACATAAACTGGATGCAAGAGACACAGTATGTGTTAACTTTGGGGCAGCGTGTACAAGGCAATAAAAGCCATGCAGTAGGAGAGGAGACTTCATTTAACATTTCCTGCAAATCCTCTACACAACACAAACATTTGTCTAATTACAACGCGTATGAGACACGTTGAATACGATCAAAGTGGCTAACTTGCTCAACCTTCTGACTTGGTGCTGGTGTCCTTAAATAGTGTCAGCGGAGAGCTGCAACAGCGTACCTGTACATTTGCTCATATGCCAAAAGTATATAAAAAAAGGTGTTTTGGCTTTTTGTGTATTCCCAACAGCTTTAATCTAATTAAATCTTCGTTTCAATTCCATGGTAATTTACTAATATTGATTAAAAATGTAAAATGATTCCAGCAAAAAGTAAAGGAGAGTGTGCTAATGAAGAAGTGAACAGCTTTGGGGAGATGCTTCGAGATCCTGCAAATTGGAGTGCCCAACTGAGGCGCGCGACGAGTGGTGTCCGAGGCTTCTTGCAACAGGCTACGACAGTAGTTAGAGCTGTGCAGGAATGCTCCCTTCTCAGACAATGGCCGAGCACCTTTCTGGAGTGTGGGCAAATTTACAAGAAGCGCTACCGATTTATCGACCAAATGCTTTAAAGCTCCTGCTTGAACTATCCGGACCTATGAAATATTGATAAGTTGAACAATGCAGTCGCAGCATCTTTCTTTCCTCCACAATTTCTACTCTGAGAATCAATTAATATTTTTCGAGACAACATATATTCTCGGATTACTCATTGAAGAAAAAGATTTACACTACCCAAACTCAGCAAAGACATCAATCAACCGATAGATTTTATTAGTTCAAACTAACTGTTTTCTGGTTGTCAAACCAAATCAGTTACGACAATTAGCAGGATAGACTGTTAGGAAAATATATATTTTCCTATCTAAATATGGACAATAGTAACATAGTTATTCTGATTCATTTAATTGACTTAAATTACTTAATCTAATTATTGAAATAATCAATAATTTATTTGATTGACTTACATTACCAGATTTAATTATATAAATAATCAATTATTTATTTGATGGACTTAGATTACGTTATCTAATTATGGAACAAGTCAATTATTATCTTGTTGATATGGGGATAAGGTAATTATGAGTGACCTATTGATCACTATGTAAGGACATTCGGTCCCAATGCACTAAATCAATCATTGTTCTCTATTCTCTCCATTGGAATAGATTACGAAGGACCCATTACGCGATTTAGTTGAGGAAGACCGTAATACCAATTGTTTGAGTTCTCAGTTCCGTATCAAAGAATTCGATGGATCCAGGTAAGTTAATAATGTGTTTTTTTTTTTTTTCATATAAATCATTATAGGACATATGAATTGAAGATATGCCTAGTGCATTATCAATCAAACTTTTTCATCATAAGCTTCTCAATTCAATTGATTTGATTGACAATCAATTGATGACTTACCTATAGACTTTATTTTTTAACTTTTACAGGTTTTTTTCTTTACCTTTATCTAATTAAGGAAAATGTTAAGGAATCCATTCAATTTCCTACAACACAAAAAGTCTTCTATTAACGTCAGCCAGTGAGGCTAAGCAATAAATAAATAAATCCGTACCTAACCAAATAAAATACTCACTAACTTGTATGGATTTCTGAGTCTTAATTAACACGTATATTTTCATAAGCAAATCAATTGCAGACTGACAAGTGAGGTCAATGATCACAGTATATGATTATATCACTCCCGATGATTACTATAAACATCAGATTAAAAATTATATCATGTCCCAACACTACTACCTTCACCTTCACTTTGACTCATATCAAGTCTGAACAATTTCTGTTGCAGAAACATTTTCCAGAGCTTTTAATCAGACATGGCTGTTGCTGCTTATGCATCCTTGGCTTCTCTCACTCATGTCCTCGAAAATCTCCACTATCGTGCCCGATTTAATATCCCTCGTGCTGACATCAACCAAGTTGAAGATCTCCAGGAAAATGTCAATTCCTTGCTGGAATTTGTCGAGCTTCATTCCGAAAGGAAGATCCCTGAGCTTCGAGGTTTGTGGAGGAAAATGGCAGAGGCTGCTGCTGAAGCTGAAAGTGACATCAACTTCCATGTAGGCAATCTACTCTATGCCAAGTCTCAAGGAGAAACGAGTGATACTTCAAACTTCTCAGCTTTCTGTGATGAAATGGACACACTGATCCAAAAGTTTTGTTCCATCGAAAAAGAGTTGCCGATGATTGAAGAAAGGGAGGATCATCAAGCCCGAAAGCAATCCAATTATGCTTCTGTTTCTGCTGGTGGTTCGTCTGCAGCTGCTTCATATGTCAGCAATGTTGTTGGACTGGATGAGCATGTGAACACGATCAGGGACAACCTCATCAGAGGTAGATCCAAGCTCGAAATCCTTCCAATTGTCGGCATGGGAGGTATTGGTAAGACCACTCTCACAAAATGCCTCTTTGAGGATTCATTTGTTGTCGACCACTTTGATTTACGCATCTGGCTTACCATATCTCAACAATATAGTGCTGAACAAATCCTTAAAGTTGGTCTTCGAGGAAAGGCTGGAGAAAACAAAATGTGTGAAAGCTTAGACGATTTGGGAACTAAATTCTACCAAAAATTATTTGGTAGAAGGTATTTGATTGTTATGGATGACATGTGGTCGACTGGAGCTTGGGATGATTTACAGAGGTATTTTCCCGATAGTGAGGATGGAAGTCGTATTTTGTTGACGACTAGACTCTCAAACATGGCTGCTTCTTTGGGTTCTCGTGATCCCTATCTATTAACATTTTTAGATGAAAATGATAGTTGGAGTTTATTCTGTCAAAATGCTTTTTCTCAAAATGGTTGTCCATACGGTCATTTAGAGAAGTTTGCAAAGGACATTGCAAAAAGTTGTAGAGGGCTTCCTTTGGAAATTGTTGTTATTGGTCGATTGCTTGCGAATTCTGATATGACCGTAAAATATTGGGAGAATATTGTAAATAATATTAGCTTCTTAGCTAATTTGGCAGATGATGAGCATTGTAGGAAAATTCTCTCTTTAAGTTATGAGAGTTTACCCATTCATCTCAAACCATGTTTTTTGTATTTTGGAGCTTTTCCCGAAGATAGTTCAATTGGAGTCTTAGAACTAATACGCATTTGGATTATTGAAGGATTCATTAAATCAATGAGTAATAGAAGTTTGGAAGATATTGCAAAGGAGTACGTAAAAAACCTCAGCGATAGGAATCTAATATTTGAACGGGGTGAATCTGATTACGGCATTCATGATCTTTTAAGGGATCTTTGTTTAAAAGAATCTGATGATGAATGTTTTCTCCAATTTCCTCGAATGCAAACCTTTAAAAGTGGGTTGATAGAAGTTAGGCACTGTAATCTTTGTCTAAAAGGACTTGAGGACAATGAAGGAATGCATATTTTGCAACCATTTTATATATTTGGAGTATCATCACAAGTTAATCCTTTTGTATGCGATGCTTGTACTATGGTGTATTCGCACATTAAAAGACATAATTTCGTGAAGATTGAAAATTTCGATGATGGTTTTGACAAAGAAAGTTTGCAGCCAATTGAATTGCGGTGTGCTGATATATGGGGAGTGAAATCATTGTCTCCTTTGACATTCAAGTTACTTTGGAATCTTCAACTTTTACAAATTTCAAGCTCATCATTCATGGATTTACCTCGAGAGATATGGGAGATGCCACAATTAAGAGAGATTTCAGGTGATTATGATGTTTATCTACCTGATCCTATATACATTGATATTCATGGGAACGATTTTCTTGTCCTGAAAGACCTTCACACCATATGTGGATTCCGTAATTTTAATTGCACAAAGGAAGTCATTGATCGGATCCCAAATTTGAAGAAATTGGATATCAGATATGAATATGGAGCTGAGGGGGGTGTTAAACAGCTGAACTATTCTCTATGTAATCTTGAGCGACTACAGAAACTTGAATCTCTATCTATATCAGGTTGCTTGGAGAAAATGACCTTGCCTAATTCCCTCAAGGAATTGGGATTGATGGATTGTACAATGGCATGGGAAGATATGTCAATTATTGGTTTGCTGCCGAGTGTTGAAAAACTTACGATATATGGTGGCGCGCATGGGTTAGAGTGGGAGCCTGTTCAAGGGGAATTTCGTCGCCTAAAAGAGTTGGCCATTGGCTATACTGATTTAGTGTGTTGGAGAGTGGAATCGGTGCACTTCCCTATTCTTGAGAAGCTCAAACTTACTGGATTAGGTTTATTGGAGGAGATCCCTTCGGGAATTGGAGATATACTAACATTGATATCAATCGATGTTGAGAATTGCAGTGAGTCTGTCATTGATTCGGCAAAGGAAATATGGGAGGTGCAACACGAGCTCGGTAATGAGATTAGAATTCATGTTTCTGATAAAGAACATGAGGTCGGATATCTAATTGGTACTTTCACTGCAAGAATGACGGGAGCTGTTTGTCATTCCTTGGCTTATTCAATACACCTTCGAGAAAGACTCGACAAGGTTGCTCAACGTGGCCGCCACTCTCTAAACACAAAACAAATGGAAGCTGTGGAGGAAGCCATTCATTTCTTCAAGGACTTTGTTAAAGCTATTCACCCAAGAAGATGCCAAGAAATGGAAAGTTTGCCGGGAGAAATGGCGCAGGCTATCCATAAAGCAGATGCTGTGATCCGCAGGCTACGCGCGGAAACATTGATGCCTATACTTGGTAAGTGCGTCCATGAAGATGTGGAAAGGTTGTTGGAAAAGATAGACTTCATAAGAAAGGCGCTGTCGGTAGCTAAAGAGGAAGGGACAGAAGATGAACAAAGTGACGATGTTGTCGATAATGATGCCACATCCTATGATGTCGAGTCACTTAAAATTCTGGAGAAATTTCCTAACACAGATGAAGATCAGAGACAATATCAAATTGGTTCTGTCACTGCAACAATGACGCAGGCTGCTAGTTTAATCTGGTCTGATTTAGCATGCACCCTGGAGGTCCTCCGAAAGGCTTCTAAACTCGGCCGTCATCATCTAAACACAAATCTAATGGAAAACGTCGAGGATTCCATCCGTTTCCTGCAAGATGTCGTCGAAGTTCATCCACAAAGTACACTCCAAGAAGTCGACACTAGTGGCGATTTCTATGCAACAATTTTAGACTGTGTGGAGATATTGAATTCGAGCCATCTTAGGCAACAATCTCTGGAAGATGCAACTGATGATGAAATCTCATCCTTCTATGAGATTGTGGCATGGATTTGGTACAGATTAGAAGACATCAAAATATGGCTAGCAGGGCCTCAAATTGAAGACGACTCACTCACTGACTCTCAGAGTATTAATTTTTCCCAACAACACTTTCACAATGACACACAATCTTAATTTTCTTTTCCAATAATTACTATTTAATTTCTCATCAAATTGATACAATTTTTTTTTTTTTTTGGTCTCTATTTGTAGAAGAATCAACAGATGAAGAAATCTAATCTGCACAAGATGTTTGAGGTGATTGTTAAATATATCTTGTTTAGTATGATATTTTTTATATATATATAAAAAAAACAATATATTTTTGTTAGAGAGGTGTGTTTACTTGTGAGGTTTTGGTTTTGAATTTTGATTTTGAATAGTAGAATTTTGAATTGAAATAGTTTTTGATATGATATAAATAAGGATAGAAATAAGGACTTTTGCAAACATGTGAAATATATTTTGTCAGCGACATAAACACAGGACAAAAGTGATAATGGATATACGTGTGAGATATTTTTTTGCAATTTTTCCTTAAAATTTGGGTTAACCAAGAACACATTGATAAGGTACTTATATTGCACGACTTCTTTTTAAATGTATTTCAGGTTGAGGATTTGCACTCTATCAGTCCAGATTGCTTTCACTACAAAAAAATAATATATTTGTAACGGAATTCCATCCCTAAAGTTCACGTAGCTAACGTAATTCCGTTTCTAATTCCGTCTCTAATGTCATTAGTAACGGAAAAAGTAGATTTAGAGACAAAAAAGTTTTGTTACAAAAATGATTTTTTCTTGTAGTGTTTCTTGAGGTGGGTGGTGCTGTCACCATCTACCATATAAACAGGTTGGCCGAAACTTCTCTTCTCTTTGAAATAAATGATCACTAATTATAGTATACTTGTTTTAGGAAGAGGGAAAAGTAGTATCACAATGAACACAATGGAAACTAACCTATTTGATGTGACAAATTATGTTTTGTCATGTCATTTCGCAGTATTTTTTTCTCATTATACAGGTTTTCGGGTTCTGTTACATATTATTTTGGTATTACTGAAAAAATAGAGATAATATTTTTTGTTGCGAAATTGTTGCTATTACAAATACCGGTACAAAAACTATATCGGACGTATAAAATAGTATTTTGACATCCAGCTTATTGTAATAAATTTTATAATGTAACAAAAGTCGTTACAAATGCAAGAACAATTATTGTAACGATTCTTTTATTACGAGAAATATCCGCTACACATAAATAAAAAATATATTGCTAGTGTTACAAAAATCACTCGAGTATATGCACCGTAAAATTCCGATTTTCAAAATCGTTACAAATAAGCATTTTTTTGGTAGTGTTCCAACCTTTAAAAAGACCCTTTGATTTTCGCGTTTGATTCTAATAATAATCGAGGGAGACTTGATTTCTATGCAAGCCTATGGACTAATCACTTTTTATTATGCAAGTCAAGCAATAATCAGCCTTCTGTTTTATTTGAGCGTCTAGTGTATACATTTTTCCTTGTGAGGTTGTTTGCTCCGGACTTGATGAAGTTAGCATTAAAATATGATTTTCATGTTTGGCATGGACAGTAACATGCTTGAGGGTAAACATAGTTTAGGTGGGAGGGGACTTGATAAACATATTGTTCATCCAACTTTTTGTATGTGAATTGCGCATATTATTATAATTGTGAATTTTGTGTTAGTAATGGAAAAAATTGAATATTATTGCAAAAATTTCAAATTAGTGTTTCCATTTAGCATTACCATGGCTAGAGAAAATTTTGATAAATCAAGACTTCAAGGGAAAAGGTTTTTTCTTTTTTTTCTATCCAGAAATTGGAAGAAAATAATAATTAATAAAAAATCATCTTGAAGAAAAAGTAAAAGATGGTTGTGTAGTTCTGCATCATTTTCTGTCAAGAAAAATCTTATTATTTATTATTTTTAGTTATGTTTAGAGGCTAAGCTTCTTTCTCTAGTCTAAGATTGAATTTTCAAATTATGAATTTGTGAGATAATTTTGGTTTTAATTGAATCTTTTAATTAATTGATATTTATGCAATATATGTGTATAGTGTCTACCGTCATTAGATGTGATTTATTATTGTGGTCAGATTTTAAATTTATTTACGGATTGTGTACTAATTGAATAAATGCATCTGTAATTATGAATTTATTAGGTAAAATAATGTATAAGGTAACGAGCTTAGCCTATGAATTGCATGATTAAATATAAAATCCTTCGTAATTGATTAAATATTCAAATTGAGTTTCTCTTGCCCTAGAAGAATTTGATTGGATGATCAAATGCATTATCTGATATTTCATTCAATCGTTAGACTAGATATTTTTAATGATTGATTAATCGGTTTATTTCTTTCTTTGATTGTTTGGTTTTATTTGGCTTATGTGAATTCCATGAGGATAGTTCTTTAAATTCTTGACCGAAAATTGCACATTTTCAATTAAATAATCAACTAAAAAGTACAATTGCAATGTCTATGGATTTGAGCCTGTTGCCATTATTGTATAATTGACCGTTTATACCTGTCAATTGGTATTGCTCAATGTATTAACATGCATGCAAGGAAGGCTTTTATTTTCAATAGTTGTGATGATATGCTTTAAATCAGATTGGATCAAATGTTGAAAATGAATTTTCAGCACAATGCCGAACTCTTACATTTTAATTTGTATAATTATATTATTTAATAAACTAAATCATATAATAAAATTTTTAAGTGCTTCAGCACAGGTGCTGAAACTTCAATTTCAGCACCTGATCCGTTCTGGCTTTAAATTAGTTTGTTACTTGTTAATCTGGCATTATAATAATGTATTTAGAACTGGGATTCAAGTAGATGTGGAAATGCCTTGGAAACTAGTTTGACACTTAATAATTGACATTGTAACGATGCTTATGCAAGTGAGAGTCAAGTCAGGGTGGAAATTTGTTAATATGCCTTGAAGCTAATTTGTCATTTGTTTCATCTGACATTTTAACGATGCATCTGGAGTGAGATTCTAAGTCAAAGTGGAAATTTGTTGATATGACTTGAATTTAGGGATAATATTTTAATATTAGGTATTATATCCTAGAAATATGATTTAGATATTAAAGGGGTGTTTGGCAAATAGTTTTTTAAGAGCTTTTAGCTTATTGAACAGCTTTTAGTTGTTTGACCGGTTAAAAAGCTAATTTAGGTGTTTGGTAAATTAGCTTTTTGGAATAGCTTTTTGGACCAAAAAGCTAATTTCTGAAAAACTAACTTACCCAGCGTTTTAAAAATTAAATAAATTAAATTTATTGAAAATTATAAATATAATGAACTAATCGATAACTAACATAATAAATATATACATGAAAAATTTATTATTTTATATTTTACATCATTTTCAATAAAAAAATATTTATATATTTCAATAAAATATATTATTTTTTAAATCTAACTATAAGAAAAATAAATATTTTTATAACACTTTTACAATTTTTCAATAACTAATAACAAAAAATTTCAAACATTCTAAACTCAAAAAACATAATTGAATATATTAGAAAAAAAATAAAATAGAAATGTCCTCAATTGTCATTTTACGTATAAACAACTAATATCAAACAGTTGTTTTACCAAATATTTTAATACAAATAGCTAATGGAATCAACTAGTCAAACCAGCTAATTAAATCAGCTAACAGTTATCAGCTAATTGTCAAACACGCCCTAAGTATTATATCCTAGAGATATAATTTTGATATTAGATATTATATCATAGATTTAGATATATGATTTAAATATTATTGACGTAGACTTATGTTATATATATAAATAAGACATGTTTTCTCATTGTAACAGGTGCCATGCGGCCAAGCAGCTCAAATCCTGCAATAAAATTTGTTACCATGGAAGTAGCTAACTCGTTTTTGGTGAACCACGTAAATCTGTGTCTTCTTTACATTTTCGGTTTGTTATTCGATCATTAACCCTAATCGGTCATAACAACTTGTATATTCCCTACACACCTTAATATAACTCCAAGAAACATATATTTGCACGTATTATTTCTTTAATAACCATACTAGGTAAATAATAAATGGAGTAATATGAACAAAATTAATTAACAAACTAACCAAAATGTTCAAAGGTGCTGATCTCTCACTGTAATCCAAGATTTGATTTAATGGTTTAAACCATGTGTTACAATGTAAACCAATTTCTAGAGAATCTCACTACTCATTAATTCCTAAAACTAATCGAAGCATCAGAACAGCTTCTAATATGCATCGCCGTCAGCATTGTCTTCGTGTTCATCTTTCTCTGTCTGTTGCCTTTCAGAATCCATGTCGTCATCGTTTTCGGTCAAAGAAGAGACCACGGAATTCAAATCTTACTGTTGCCTTTCACCATCTACTTCGTTCTTTGTCTTATCGTCGGTTGGAAAAGAGACGGATGCAGCCGCATCTGTCGGTTCCCTTTCAGAAACACCGGGGAGATCAGAGTGTTTGTGCATGTGACGATCAAGGCCTTGTTTTGTGGCGAAATGTTTATGGCAATTAGAGCACTTGTAAACCTTAACATTGGATCCTTTCGATGCTGTGGGATTCCTTTCTTGAGCTGTGGCCCGGCGTCGGCGTCGGTGTATGTGTATGTGTTGGCGAAAGAGTTGGGTTGAAGTAAAAACAGCATCGCAGTTATCACAGGGGTAGTAGAAAACCTCATTCTCAGAGGGAGATGTCGATGCTGTGGGATTCTTGTCTGAAGCTGTGGATTGGTGCTCGGATCTGTGTCTGTATTTGTGGATGCGAACGACTCGGGGTGTACTAAAAACAGCGTCGCACACATCACAAGGGTAGAAACTCTCTGCTGGAGTTGTGGTTGCCGAGAAACCCTCTGCTGGAGTTGTCGTTGCCGTGGCATTCTTGTCTCGAGCTGTGGATTGGTGCTCGAATCTGTGTCTGTTTTTGTGGCTGCGAAAGAGTCGGGCTGAAGTAAAAACAGTATCGCACTTGTCACAGGGGTAGAAAACCCCATTCTTTGCCTGAGATGTTGATGCTGTCGAATTCTTGTCTGGAGCTATGCATTCGCGCTCGGATTTGTGTCTGCTTTTGTGGGTGCGAAAGAGTTGGAGTGAAGTAAGAACAGCGTCGCACTCATTACACGGGTATAAAACCTTATTCTCCGCTGGAGTTGTCGATGCCGTGGGATTCCTGTCTCGAGCCTTATCATTGGATGTCGATGCCTTGGGATTCTTGTCTTAAGCCGTGGACTGGTGTTTGGATCGTTGTGAAATTTTGTGGTCGTCGAGGGCTTGGGCTGAAGCGAAAAGAGCGGCAAACTGATTGCACCGGTAGGGATGATCATCCTTCGCCGGAGATTCCATAGCCGTCGTCTGAGATTCTGTAGGGGATATTAATCTCCTGCTGTGATCGATATATATGTGAAGTCTTTATTACAAGAAAGAGTCGAAATCAGGCTATCCCTAACAAATGCAACGATCTATAGCACCATAAACCTGCAACTTAGCCATTATATTGAAGCAATTCTTGATTGATTCAACCTTGGAAGAATGATGAATGGGTTTTCGATCGGTTTTTATATTTCAATCAGTGTATACTCTATCATTTGGACTCAATACGCATTTA